CATTTCACTTTCTTCTGAGTGTTCTTTGAAGCAGTTTTAAATTTTGATGCAAATCAATCCGTCAATTTTTTTCTTTTGCTGTGCATGCTTTTGGTGTCATATTAAAAATCCTGGGACTGGTGTTGTGGCGTAGAAGGTTAAGCCTCTGTGATGCCAGCATCCCATGCAGGTGCCCTTTCAGGACCTGGTTGCTCTACTTCCGGTCCAGCTCCCTGCTGATATGCCTCAAAAAGCAGAGGAAGATGGTCCAAGTGCTTGGGCCCCTGCCCCTACGAGGGAGACCTGGAGGAAACCTTGGGCTCTTGGCTTCAGTCTGGCCCAGCCCAGGCCATTGGGACCAAACCAGTGGATAGAAGACCTGTATCTGTTGCTCCCCCATTTGCGGAGGAACAACACAGGACCCTGCGCTGTTCTTTTGTCTGCTCGGCCCTTCCCGGGTTTGCTGCTGATCCCTCACTCGTGGAGGAACGACGCCGTCCCGGGTTAGCTGCCGACCCCTCCACCTCTGTGGAAGGGCGGTTCCCCCTGCCACTTTCCCCGCTTCCACAGGGGAGCGGCACACTGCCGGCCGGCTCTCTGGGGGCTGCTCAGGTGTTCCTTCAGATGTTCCCGGTGCATGCCGTCTCTCTCCTCCTTTATAGTCCTCTTCCACCAATCCCAACTCTGCTGCCCACATGCCGAGCACGCTGCTCTCCTCCAATCAGGAGCAGGATCAGCTCCTGCAGCTTATCAAATTGGTGAGAAGCAGCTGCGTAAAAGTTTACTCCTCCCCAGCGCAATATTGTGGGAGAGCAGATGCATAGAATAAGTCTTAATTCCAGTAACTTAGTCTAGTCTCAGTTGCTCCCCACATCTATCTCTCCCTCTCTCTGTAGCTCTTTCAAATAATATACATATATTTAAAAAATAATATATATTTATATATATAAATATATTATTTTATATAAAATATATTTATATATAATATACATATTAAAATAATACATATTTAAAAATAGAATCCACTGCCAAATCCAAGGTCATGATTTACCTGTTTTCTTTTCTAAAAATTCATTTATTTATTTGAAAGAATTACAGAGAGAGAGGAGAGAAAGAAAGAGACAGAGAGGGACCTCCCATCCATGGGTTCACTTCCCAAATGCCTGCAACTGCCCCTGGATGGAGCCAGAGGAGAGCCCCAGTGTGGGTGGCAGTGACCCAACCCTCTGGGCCACCACCTGCCCCCTTTCAGGATGTACATTAGCAGAAAGCTAGAATTGGGAGCAGAGCCGAGACTTGAACCTATGCTCTCTGATATAGGCTATGGGCGTCCCCAGCAGTATCTTCACTGCTAATGCCAAACAGCTGCCTTTGAATTCACCATCTCAGTGATGGCCTTGACACTGCTGTAAAATCCGTTGACCACGAATGCTTAGACTTTTTTCTAGAACCTTTTCTTCTATTCCATATCTACATATCTGTGTCAGTACCGCACTGTTTTATCACTTTTGCTTCATACTTAAAGTTGAAATCCGGAAGCGTGAGTCTTCACTTTTGGCTAATCTGGGTTCCTGAATTTCCATATGAATTTTGGAATCAGATCAGCAATTTCTCCCAAGCAGCCAGTTGGGATTCTGACAGGGGTTGTGTTGAATATCTTATCAGCTTGGAGAATGCGGCCATCTTCACAATACTGAGTTTTCTAATTCATGGACGGGAGATATTTTCCACTGATTTGGATTTTTAAAAACTTTCAGCAGTGTCTTTAGAGTTTTGTACTTCTTTTGTAAATTTATTCCTAAACATTTTCTTTCTCTTAATGTGTTAAAAAATGAAATTGTTAGAAGTATCATTATATTCTTAGAACTGTATCTATGAACTACATGAAATCTGTTCTCTTTATATTAAAAAATGAAATTGTTGGGTCCATCACTGTGGCACAGCAGGTTAGGCTCCTGGCCCAGCACTGGCTGTTGTAGCTATTTGGTGAGTGGACCAGAGGATGGAAGATTTGTCTCTCCTTCATTCTCTATATCCGTCTTTCAAGTTCTTTTTAAAAAATGAAATGGTTGGGATCAGCATTGTGGCACAGCAGGTTAAGCCACAGCCTGGGATGCCAGCATCTCATATGGACTCTGGTTCAAGTCCTGGCTGCTCCACTTCTAATCCAGCTCCCTGCTAATGGGCCTGGGTAAGCAGTGGAAGATGGCTTAAGTACTTGGGCCCCTACACCCATGTGCTTTAAAATCTCATTATTCAAACATGAATCTATAGGGTTTAGCTTACTGATTAGAGATGTTTTAGCATCTGTCTCTCAGCAAACTGAACTGGTCAACAGTCAGACCAGCACCCCTGCCTTTACATTCCTAGTCCCCAGCAGAGCTCAGCATATGCTTAAGAAGGTAATCAAATCCTTTGTGACCATATCAGGGGAAAAAACTCCTTTTTTAAAAAAAATTATTTATTTGGAAGGCTGAGTGGCACAGTGACAAAGAGGGAGAGGGAGACAGAGAGGTATCTTCTCTCCCCTAGTTCACTCCCCAAATGGCTGCAAGAGCCAGGGCTGGGCAGGCAGAAGTCAGGAACTCTATCCAGATACCCCACTTGGGTGGTAGGGACCTAAGTACTTTGGCCATCTTCCGCTGCCATCTCTGAACAGCAGCAGGGAGCCGGATCCAAGGTAGAGCAGCTGAGACTGCAACAGGCACTCTGATAAGGGACGCCAGCATAGGTGGCAGTTTAACATGCTGCATCACAACACCAGCCCCAAGAAAGTCATTTAAAAACATTTATTTTTATTTGAAAGACAGAGTTACAGGGGAAGGGGGATAAATAGAGATTTTCCACCTGCTGGTTCACTCTCCAAATGGCCAGATGTTTGGGGCCGGGCCAGACTGAAGCCAGGAGCCAGAAGCTTCCTCTGCACATGGGTGCAGGGACCCAAGGACTTGAACCATTTTCTGCTGCTTTCCCATGTGCATTAGCAGGGAGCTGGATTGCAAGTGGAGCAGCCAGGGCTGGAACTGGTGGCCATATGGGATGCCTGTATTGCAGGTGGTGGCTGAATCCGTTATGCCACAATGCTCGCCCCAAGAAGGTAATTTTTAAAACAGATTTTAAAAATCATAAAATTGAAGGATGAAAGGTTAAGTAACTTGTCCAAGGTCACACAGCGATGAAGTAATAAAGCTAGGATTTTGAACCTAGGTGGTCTCTGGCTGTAGAATGATATTTTATTAAATAAGTATATTATGTCTACCTCCCCCTTCAAAAGGAGGGTAGGGTGGGAATTTGAGGCTTTGCTCCTCGTCTAAAAAGATTGAGCAGAGGCCTCTTAGACTGTTAGTTACTTCCTCCTAACAGCGTTCCCTTAAATAAGTGAGGTGCTGGAATAAGTGATCAGTTTTTGCGCTTAGAATGAATTCATCTGCCCACCAGAGTAGGGAGTTCTGTCTCATAATCAGCTGAGTTTACAGCAACAGCAAGCACCAACGAATTGTGCAAGTACAAAGAAGCAAGTCGTGCAGACAGGGCACCTTAACAGGATGCCAGAACCCTGCCATTTCCACCGCGCGCAGCTCTTGGGCTTACCTGGGCCCTCCTGTCTGTGGCCAGGCTGCTGTGCTGGCCAAAACCGGATGTCTACAACCCAGGGCTGCAGATCAAAGTATTCCTGCCTTCAACACTTAGGAAGCGCCTACTGTATGCTTGGCATAACATGGTAACCGCTATCCTCCAAGGACTTGAAACTGATCAAAACCGAAGCGGTGTGCGCTCAGCAAGTCTGAGTCCGCTCCACACACAGCAGGTTCCAAGTCAGTGCCCCCGGCCTTTCTCTCATTCGCTCCGCTTTCAGGGTGGCCTCCAGCCCCCAACATACCTGAGCAGCTCCAGAATCAAGGCCCCCAGAAACATGGGCGTCTCAAGTCTCAGGTCAGACTCTGAGGCGCCCCAGGGCAGACAGGCCGTTTGTCTGCGCTTTAATTCAATAAGCCTCGTTCTGCCAAAGGGCGCAATCCCGCGGTCTTATCACGGCCGGTGCAGTAGCGTCGCCGTCCTCAGTCGCCCGGTCATCGCAGGCCTCTCTCGCCGCCATCCGACACACCTGGCCGCCCAGCCGGGGCCCGGCGCCACGCCTACCCGCACGCACCGGGACCCCGCCATTCCGCCTGGCCCCCACACCCGCCAGAAACATGCTTCCCCACGGCATTGTTCCCAGTCCCTGGCGCCCCAGGTCGCACCCTCTCCAGTCGCCCGCCCGGCGCACACGCCTCGGGGTCACCGGGTCCATCTCCAGCGGCCGAACAGAGTCCACTGAGCCCCCGCGTGCGACCCCGGCCCCTGCTCTGTAGAGCAGCCGGGGCGTTTTCCATTTGCCCAAGCACACGGTGGCTGGGGCGTCCCAGCAGCAGGCTAGCGCAGCCTCTTCCTCTCCGCCGTGGTCCCCTACCCGGCCGCACGCTCCAGCGACAGCCTCCAGCTGCCACCTTTCGGGCTCGCTGCGGAAGGCACGACCGGTGCAGGCGCACTCCTTCCTCGTGGCGGCCGGCCCAGGCCCACCTTGGCCGCCCACCGCCCTCCCGGGTGGCGCGCAGCCTCTGCCACGCTGGGGCCTCGGCTCGTCCGCGGCCAACTTTACTCCAGCTATGGTCCCTGCGCCCCTCTTCCCCGGCCCGCGGCCGCGGTAGCCGCCCGCCTCGAAAAGGCGCGTGGCGAGACCGGGCGCTGGAACCTCCGCGCCCAGGCCCTTGCTCGGACTCCAGCACATGGTGGAACCGGACGGGGAGCAGACAGCGCGCACGTTGGGGCATAACCTTGGTGGCACCGGAGAGGGCCGCTTGGCAGTGGGCCACCAATGCCGAGGAGGGCGAGCCTCGCGCCGGGGGCGCTCTGACGGCGGCGGGGAGCCCGCTCAACACTTGCCTTCTCGCGGCATGCACGCTCACACCCCTTCCTGCGGAAGCAAATGGTCCCTTCCAGGCGGGTGGCCATGTTGCTCCAATAAAGCGGGAGGGGCGGTGGCGTGGGGGGAGCAGATGCCGCGGGCTGCGAGCGGGAGCCGGGCGCCAGCAGAGCGCAGCCGCGAGCGAGGCGCGGGGGAGGCGAGCCGGAGCCCTAGCGCTGGCAGCCGCCAGTGTCGGCGGAGAGCACCCGGGCGCAGCCGGAGCCGGAGCGCTAGCAGCAGCCAGCGTCGGTGGAGCGCACCCGGGCGCAGCCGCAGCCGCAGCCGCGATGGCCGTGGCCGTGGGGAGACCGTCTGTGAGTGCTGGGCCCTCGCTTCCCTCGCTCGCCGCCGGGGTGGTCTGGGCTTTGGGGCGGGTGCCGGGGAGGCCAGCGGGGCGCCGGGAGGGGGCTTGTGGGTGTGTGCGTGGATTTGGGCGCGCGTCTGGGGCTGAGCGGAGAGCGAGGACCCCAGACGCTCAGTCGCCGCGTGATACAACAGTGCATCGTCTCGTCGCGCCCCTATTCCCGGGACGCGGGAGAAAAGGAACCCCTCGCCTATGCGCCCTCTTCGAAGAGGGCGCCTTAGCCTTGGCGTTTCCCAGCGACCCCCCTCTCCCCGCGCACGCCGTGGCCCTCGTGACGGTCGGGAAAGGCGCCGGGTGCGGGGGCTTCCTCCCGGCTCCCCCGCGCCCCGGGGCGATCGGGGCGTGGGGATGGCGCGCCGGGGCGCAGCGTGTCACACGGCTGTGGCAGCGGGTCAAGGGGTGGGGTTTCCGTGGTGGTTTCCCTCGTGCATTGTGAGATCCCGGACACCCTCAGGCACCCAGCCGGGCGACCGGGCCCTGCCCAGGCTGCGGACAAAGCCGTCGCCAGACGCACAAAGTTTTCCAGAGGCTGCCTTGGGGTGGTGGTGGTTGGGAGGGAGGGAGGGAAGTATTGGAAGGCCGGAGAGGAAGAGGAAGGGAGGGCGGGTGCGTGGAGAAGCGGTGCCCCCCGCAGGCGCGGGGAGCGGGGTGGGTGTCCCTGCCCAGGGCGTGGAGGCCGGGGCGCCGGTGGAGGGCGCGCCTCTGGGGCGCAGGCTTCCGCACGCGCGGCGGGAGAGGAGCGGGACTCGGAGGCTGCGGCTTCGCGCCGGCTCCACATCCCGGGCGAAGCGCGGAGGAAGGGGCGGCGGCGGCCTTTCCTTTATATTGGAAGGAGCTGAGCGGGATGGGAAAGGCGGAGTCCTCCATCTCTTTCCCCTTCTCTTTGTCGTAGCTCAAAGTCCGCTTCTGCCCCGCCGGCTCCGGGGGCGAGGTCCCTCCAGCCCTGCTGCCGCCTCTTTGCTCATCTGGGTCCCGCCGCTCTGTGGCTGCAGGTGGCGGCTTCGGAGATCTTGTAGCCCACGGACGAGAAAGTCTCACCGAGACCTGGGGGGCTCGGAAACCGCAGAGAAGCTAGGTGGTGCGCCCAAGCCCCTCCGCAGACGCTCGCACCTCGGGCGCCCCGGCCTGCGGCCGGGCGGGAAGTTGGCGGAGCACCCCCCGCGCGTGTTGTGGCTCGGCGTGGCGGTTCGGCGGCCGCGGTGCTTTCTACGACGGTTTTCCCCGCTGAGGGCGTGTGCAGGGGTCATATCGAAGTGTGGCTCAGTCTTTGAGGCCCTCTAAAGTCCACTATTTATTGAAAGACTTTTAAGAATCCTAGTTTCCTTTTGCACACAAATTGTGCTCCTGATAATTAGCGGTCGTACGTCGTCACCACGGGAGTTGGCGTGGTCTCCGGGCTAATTCTTTCATTTTTCTGGTGAGGAAATTGAGGTCCTTGGAGGTTAAGTTTGCCTGGTTAAATGACTCCTCCCCCTCCCCCCAGTACACATCGCCAGGGTTCGATTCAGAGAACTAAAACAACATTTGCTTTAGATAAACTGGCGAGGGGGTAGGAAAGCATTGTTGTGTGGGGGTGGTTTTTTCGGGAACGCCTATTGCTGGTGCATTCTTGAGGGGTGGGGGCGGTGGAGGAAATAATTTGCTGCACATATTCTATAAATTAGTTAGTTCGTATGTGCCGGCTCAATGGAAACGGTATGTGGATTGCAGATTTCCTTGTGTGGCCAGAATCGGATTCAACACTCGGTCTGCTAACCATATGTGAGCTTAATCCCACAGAATTCTTGTGTGGGACCTCTTTCTTTCAAATAATAGGGGAGATTTTTAAAAGTATGTGTGTACAGAGGAGGTAACTTTCTGCATATTTCCTGTTGTCACTGGAATTAAGATTAAATTACTTGGCAATTTAAAACCAGAAGTGCCCTCCCCCCACTACCCTATATGCGTGGTCAAGATTTGACTACAATGTCAAAGTCTGCTAATACACTTTAGAAACCTTGTGATCACATTTTCAGGGAACTGCTGAACTGTTACACTTCATTCATTGGGTTACTGTTTGAAACATTTTTTCTTTAGATTTTATTTGCAAGACAGAGAGGGAGATGAGGAGAGGGCCCAGTAGCTGGTTCCCTCCCCAAATGCTTGCAACAGCAGTGATTGGGCTGTGCTGAAGCCAGGAGCAGGAGCCCACCATCATCTAGGTCTCCCCTCTGGGTGGCAGGATCCCAGCTACTCCAGCCTTCGTTGCTGTCTCCCTGGGTCTGAATTAGCAGGAAGGTGGAGTCAGGAGTCTGAGTTGGGAGTCAGACCCCGGCCCTCTCATTTGGGGTGTGGGCATCTTAACTGCCAGGCCAGATGCCCTCCTGGCTTACTATGTGCTCTGTGCCTCAAAACAACCCCGGCCAACGCAGAGGCTGATTTCTCCAGACCCAGCAAGTTTAGTGTGGCAATTCTCTGCCCCTCCAGTTCCCTGTTCACAGAAGAAAGGAAGAGAGCGGGAGGGAAAGGAATCCCCTAAAGTCAATTTATGTGTTAATGGAATTGTCTTAGTTCCTCCACGAGAATTAATTAGATCTTTTAAAAAGTTGCCTGAGAAAACCTGAGCATGTCTCCTGTCCCTATGAATGGCTTCTGCCATCCAGACCGAAGAAAATTCAATCTGGCTGCTTTGGCCTCCATTGTAGACATTCTTGAATTGGAACATGAGTGTGGTGTCCCGGGTAAATATGACACTTTAGTTGGCAAACATGCTTATATGCAGATGATGAAATTTCGATCTTATGACGCGGGTATATTCAGTTGCGATCATTTGAATCTGAAGGCTAAATTTAGGTGTTTGTCAGGGCGTCTGTTGCTGCTTGTGAGCAGAAAGCCTCAGCTTGGAGTGGTGGTGTGTGTTTCAGCTCGAATCTCCAGCGCTCGCATCTGCAGTTCCCGTGGGCGTTGGGCGTGGCCCTGTGATGCCCCTGAAGCACACCTGCTGTTCCCAGAGTGTAACTCTTGGCTAGTAAGGGGCAGCTCTTTATTTTAAATAGAATGTGGTAATTTACCTGGCTCTTTATGTAGCTGATCTGCCCTCTTAAGATGTGCTGCTATCAGGTTATAGATTCTAGGAGTTCAGAAGAACTTCCCAGGGCATTTGGTTCAACTTCCTCCTGAGTGCAGACATTTCTTACTTTATCCCTAACAGAAGTCACGTGTGTACACTTTTCCAGTGGTGACGATTTCCCTATGATATCCTTTAGGCAGGCTGTCTGATTGCTCTGTTATCTGTTGAACCTAAAGAAATGGAAACCCATGCTTGCCATTTGCTCATTTAACTCCATTTGTTGAGCACTTGTGTCAGGTGCTGCTCCAGGTGTCAGGGGTTCAGCAGAAGACGAGCGAGGAATTCTTTCCTTACCTGGAGCTTTTATTTCTGAAAGGTTTAGTGCCCATGTGTGTAGTACAGTGACAAGCCTCAGTGGCCTCTAAGCTCTTCAGCGGGAAGGGAATTAGGTGCCTATTGCTAAGTCAACAGTTATGACTCAGGTAAAGGGTCTGTCTGGGGCTCATTGTGCACAGCTCAACCCTTGGGGGGGAAAGGGACAAGGAAATAGTATTTTCCCTTGTTATGGAACTGCCATTCCTATGATTTCAGGATGTGGTCCCAGATGGAGGGCTCTGGCTGGTGTTCTTGGAGAAAAATTAATGAAGCTGGGGTGTGTGGGGGGGGGGAGCGGTCCTTGGAGAACCATCTAAATGACAAAGACACTGCCAAGCCAGGGCGTGGCTTTTAAAAATAGGAACACTTTTGTCCGCGCTGTCCCTTGTACACATATGGGGTCTACTACTTAACAAATACTAAGGGATGCAAGAAGTGTTCAAGATGCATTACTTTATTTCTTAAATTGTCTTCTTTAAAAAGTATCTGTTACAATGAAAAAGCAGACCCGAGGAACCGATTAAAAGAATGACACTACCTGTGTCCCGCTGCTCTGATGTAACAGGGTTTAGCTTCCTAGTGCATTTTCCTCACCTTTTTGAGGTTTACTACAGCAGGCGTCATCCACATTGTGTACACTGCAATGTAGGAGCCAATGTGTGTGCCTGGAGGGGGGCCCTGTCTCAGCACTGGAACACTCTTACAATGGGGGAAACAGACGCTTAATCTCCGGGCATGGGCTGCGCTGTGTCTGGGTCCCCACAAAGGAACGAGGGATTGAGTGGCTGCTGTCCTGTCATTTGGATGGCCTGCTTTGATTGATTTTCTAAAGACCGAGCATTTCTACCCACTGACAATGCCACACTGATGATGGGCCTTGGGTTTAGACTTGGAGCAGGCTCCATGTAGTTTTCTGAGCCTGTTTTTCCTCTTTAGAGAGGACCTTGCAATTGGTGGCAGGGAGAGGCTGCTTTTGGATTTTATCTGTCTTTCAGAGCCTCAGTGGGGATCAGCAAAACTGAACCATTATTTAAACAAAGACCCAGCAGTTCTAAATCCCCTACCCTTTTTCCCAAGGAGACCTACTTTGCACTATAATTGATGCCGCCTTCCTTTTTAAAAATCAGTCCAGATTAACCGAAAACTCCCAACTGAACAGTACCCACAGCCCAGCAGTGCAGCTGCTGCTGAACATATAAACAGTACACAGCCTCCGTACTAGAGGAGATAGGCTTCCACAGAACATTCACTGGGCGATTGGAAATAAAATTTGCATCATTGCAGGCCTGGCTTGAGGGGGAAGGCAGCAGTCTGTTCCCGTGCAGGACTAAAGCCAAAGCTCTCCAGCACTTTTTTAAGAATAAAAGGATTGGTGGCCGTAGGTGTAGCACATTGGCAAGTGACACAGGAAGTTCAGTTGTGTGGACACATGCTGTCTACCTGCTGAACTATGACCCTGGGGATGGAGTGGGATGCCTTGAGAAAAGGAACAGGCTAAGGAGGAGAGGTGGGAGGGAGACATGCCC